AAAAAAAAAAAGTGTCTGATGTGCAACAAAAAAAAAAAAGAAGAACACGAAACGACAAAACAAAAGATAGCGAAGAAACAAACAATTGTGTGGTTGTAGTTAACAAATGTGAAATGCGGATTGAAAAAGTGTTGGGAAAATTTGAGTGGAACGAAGAGGAAAATAGGGAGGAGAAGGAGAAAAGGCGGAAGATAGGATGGAGAGAGGTGAAGCGAATAAAGGGCTGTGGGGGAAGGGAAGTGGTGGAGAGAAAGACTGAAGAGAAGAAAAGAAGATGTAAAAAAAAAAATAAAAATAAAAGTAAGTAAAAAAACAACATAAAGCGATTTTTTTCAGGTTAAAATTTTTCCTCAAAATTTTACACGACAATGAAAATGATTGGAACATTAAACCTGTTTTTAATGCATAAACCAATTCATACGGTCAGTTTCACCTTATATGTCCAATTCGCGCAGTCATTTTGCAAAAAGACGCCTTATAGACTAAACGTATTAAGACAGAACTGTTTTTTTGTTTTTCAAAATAACACTCATATTGAGTTCAAATAATTATATAAATTATTTGATTGTGTACAAATGAAATCTTTTAAAAAATGTATTTTGAAAAAAATAATTCAATAATTTTAGCAGTTGATAAACATAGATTACTGTTTTTTTATTTTTTTTTCTTGCGTAAAAGAGGGAAAGGATTTAAATTAAATAAAATTATTCCAGAAATCTGATGCTACTAAATGTTTTGGCGTTTATTTGGATCCATTAGGACTTCAAATGCAATCACAGTGAGTTCAATTTGCCTCCACTGTAATGTTCTGATGATCAGCAACAGTCTAAATATATTGGTTTTTTAATGATTTTTTAGTGTACAATTAAATAAAGCCATCAAAAAGTTTAAAAAAAACAAAAAATTGCAAAAAAAAGTATTTGCTCAGCACCTAACTATTTCTACACACTAATATAATTTGGTTGGGAAATGAATGATAATGCACAAAAGATTACAAAAGAATCAGTAAAACTCCGCTAAAAATTACCATCGCTTAAAATAACTTATAGATCGACGATCAAATAATTTATTGGCTTTAACAATAAAACTTACTGTTGGCTATTGAAAGTTTAGTTAAGTCTTGAAGTAGCGTGTTTACTCCTAAAAAATGAAAGGGCTAGAAGGAAGGGAGATGAGGTGTAAGGGCAATGAGGATGAAAAGTCGCGGCTTTTTTCAGAGAAAAGAAATAGAGCCATAATTTGGAAGATTAACGAGTCTAAGAGCTGCTAACCAGACTAAAATGGATACTTCTCTTAATAAGAATATTCACATTAAAAATAAAAAGAAATACCAAATTGTTCCTTCAGAAAATTTGTTCTGTTTATGCTATAATTGAACTAAGGGTATTTAGCAGTACCACCGGGAGCAGCAGCAGCAGCAGCAGTAGCAGCAGCAGTAGCAGTAGCAGCATTTCATAAGCCATTGTTCGAGCCAAAAAAACACACACACACACACACACAGACACACGAAATGAAATGAAACGAAACAGAAACGGGAAATAGGAATGAACGACTGAATTGCCTTGTTAAAAAAAAAAAAAAAGCATCCGTTAAAAACTCTCTGATTGATCTTTAAAAAATTTATTCATTTTTTAACACTACTCGTATTTTCTTTCAGATTTCTCTACTATTTTTTTTAGATTTGACAGAAAAAAAAAGTGTGCAGGAAAGAAGTAGAGCGAGGTAAATGATAACCAAGCAGTGCTTTAACAGTATCCAGGACAAATATTTGTTAGTTAATGTCGAAAAAATATTGGAGCACAACTTCATAATAACAGTGATGGTGAGTAAAAAAAAAAAAATTAAAAAAAGTACAAGATTTGCCTAAATTTTTCTTAAACAGTTACATAAGCACATACATGTGCACACTTAAATAGAAATTTTTTAGGACGTATCTATCGAAGAATCCGCTGTGGTTTGAGCAGATGATAGATTGGATGTATGCTTTGTACATAAAACGAACACTATAACGGCAAAGACTCTTCATTTGCTAAAATTTGTTCTGTTCAACTACTGAACTTAATAAACTTCAGTTCCGCAGATGGGAGAGTTGACAGAATC